GAAGCTTCACATCTCTCCCTAGGGAGTCCTCCCAGCAGGTATGACTGAGGAGGAAGAACAAGATTTTATAGGACTGTTTGAAGCAAAGTAAGATAAAGTGGCCATTGAAAAGCAGAGGCTCAGAGTTCTCTGAGAACATTATTTTATTGAGCCCTGTGTACCAGGCCCTGCTGAGTGCTTTTGCATTTTTTTCTGTATGGGGAAATCATTAGGTCTATTTATTTATTATTCTTTTTTTTTTTCAATGGAGATGCTGAGGATTGAACCCAGGACATGCTAGGCATGCGCTCTACCCTTTGAGCTATACCCTTCCCTGGCTTTTGCATGTTTTTATCTTCTCATTTACTTTTTACAGCAGCCTTGCAAAATAAAAGATTATTTTCCCTACTTTGTCAATGAGAAAAGAGAGAAGCTAATCATTGACCCATGGTCATGTAGCTAACAAATGGAAAATCTAGTGGTAGATAGAACCGTGGTTCATCTGCATTTGAAACCTGTGTTCTATAAAACTCTCCCTGTGTTAAGGTTGCTGAAAAGGTCCAGACACCTGGCTTTTTGTTTTACTCAAGCTAATGAGTAGCCTTTGGCCCCTCAGTTCTTTCATGAGGATTTTTTTGTGAGTACAGCACCAGGTTGTAGTAGTTACCAGTACACAGGGAACTGATCTCTTTCTGTTGTCCCAAGGGAGACCCTGTTCCAACATCATTCTGGAAGCAAGTCATGTATTTCTTATAACTTAAAGCCCAGCAATCCATATTCCCGTCTTCCCCAGCTGGTTCTTAAATGTTAGATTGATCCCAAGTTGCTCACTTTAAAGATTTGCAGTTCTTCCTCAACATCATGTGACAGTTAAAAGCTTGAAAGTTTCAGTTCTCGATTGTGTGCTTTTTAGGGATTTAAAAACCACAATTCACTGACTAAGGAATCCTATTTGTCTGATAACACTTTGCATCTTTTTATGGCAACTTGCAGTCAAGTCAGAATAACAAAGACTGGGCATTCCACATGGAAGGAACCAGATAAAAGGCATGATAGGGTGAAAAGGCAAACATTTTTCATAGAACAAGGAGGGATCAATTCACTTTAGGAATACAAATGGAGCCAGATTATGGAGCACTTGAATCCAGAAGACTGAGGAGTTTTAATTTTGTTTTAGAAAATAAAACCCTTAGTAACTCTTTTAGGAAATGAGCAACAAAATCAAACTACTGTAGTATTTAAGGATGATTGGCTAACCTCGGCGTGTTTTGTAGGCTGAGGAGCCTATCATTTGAAGTGAACATTTTTAAAAAAGGAAGACTGTGGGCCTGGCTCAGACTTAGTCCCAGAGTATCCTGTGATGGCAGAATTGTCACTGAGTTTGCCACCCCTGCAGAAGACAGAAGTGCTCAGCAGAAGACCGATCCCTGCTGGACCCTTCTCCCACAGCTTCTGTCTTCATGTCATTTGGTAGAGCTGTCTTAAGTCGGAGACCTGGTGGCATTAATGTTTAAGAAAGAAAGGGGGATCCAAGTAGAGTGCTATCTCCTGACCTGATTGCACCGTGAGGACATTCTACACTTGTCCGAGTATCAAGTGAAAGAGAAAGCTGACCCATGGGAGGAAATTTCCATAGATCAAAAGCATGGGTTTTACAGTCATAGGGACTTGGATTCAAATCCTAGCTCTTACCTTATCCTCACAACATTTACCATTGTATGACGTGGGCAAAGTCAACAGCCTCGGTTCCTGACTGTAAAATGGGAATAATATCTAGTTTAAGGTTGTTCTAAGGTTCAGTTGAGGTAATGTATGTAAAATGTTTTAAACAGTCTGGCTAAATATTAATTGTTAAAGAAAAACATGGTAGATACTATTGATCACTGCAGGTTTGATGGAATTGAATTTTAATATTTTGGTAAGTGGGAAAATATCATTATTCAATTTGCTACATTTAAATATGTTTTCTCTTTTTAAAGGAGCACTTTAAAGTGCCAATTTATTTGGCTCCCTTGCTGAGTCATACTTCCGCCTAATTAATTCCTGAGTGTTTTATATCATGTTCAAGCTGAGTTGTCTTATATCAAAGAGGAAATAATCTTTGTGACTTCAGCCTCCTTACTTGACTCCAAGTCAAAATTCTCAATGAGGAAGGCATCTGCCATATTTGGGAATGTCGGGATTATGAAACCTTGGGATAACTGGTTTATTTATTCAGACTCTGGTATCTACAGTAAGATTGTTTGATGTGGTCACCATTCCCTGGTAGGAAGTCAGAATTCTAGGTTGCAATTCTAATCATATCTGGTTTACTCCATGAATTAAATTGCACTTTTGTCTCAGCCCAGTCTTGCCTCTCCTTTGACCCACAGTGTTTAGGTCTGCAGCCTTGCAGGAATGGCAGATTTTGGGATCTCAGCTGGCCAGTTTGTAGCAGTGGTCTGGGATAAGTCATCCTCAGTGGAGGCTCTGAAGGATCTGGTGGATAAGCTTCAAGAGTTGACTGGCAATGAGGGCCGAGTGTCTGTGGAAAACATCAACCAACTGGTGCAGTGTAAGTACCTCCCTGAGTCGTCTTCCAGGGCAGGCAGTTTTGATGGGAGTGCTGTGCTTCTGTCTTTCTTTCATAGTGGGCTTTTGTTTTGGGTGGCATACGATAGTAGTGGCCGGTCACTCTGTTATTTTTCAGTTGAGATTCAGTGGACTCGGGAGTGTCATTGATGATTTGTATAAGTAAGTTCTTATTTCTTACTAGATAGTCCACATTTTTACAAAAGCTTGCTCTGTGTTCAGCTTCCTTTTTGACTTCTTCCCCTGAGCATATAAAAGGATACAAAATGAGTAAAACTGAAGGAGAGCAGGGCAGCAGGGTCCTTGCCCCTCTTGCTGGTGGTGGTGGTATAGCAGCATTTGCTGAACAGGTAGGTGCTTATTCTATAGGGCCAGGCATGTGGTCTTTGTAGGGGCTTGAGAGGGATTAGGAGATTGCTTCTGGGGCCCAGATGATTGCTGATTCGAGTCTTCCTTCTTTTCAGCTGCCCACAAAGAATCTAGCTTTGACATTATTTTGTCGGGTGTAATTCCTGGAAGCACCACTCTGCACAATGCTGAGATTTTGGCTGAGATGGCCCGGATCCTTCGGCCTGGTGGCTGTCTATTTTTGAAAGAGCCAGTAGAGACAGCTACAGGTAAGGAAATCTTCACTTGAAAGACTAGAGTTTAACAGGGTTGAATCTTTAGGTGTATTTATTGCATCTCTCTGAACAGGAAGTATCACTTGGAGATTAATATTCTATACTGAATCTTATCCTTAGGGATAAATTATTATAAAACTCTGAACCAACACATCTGAAGAAATTGTGATCTTTGACCCATTAGGTAGTGAAATAGAAGGAAACTGCCCTCCTGAAAATGGCTGGCTCCTTTAACAGGTGAATGGTTAAACTGTGGGTATGTCCATACCGTGGAAAACTATGCTGCAGGAAAAAAGGAACAAATCATTGACATATGCAACAACTTGGATCAATCTCAAGGGAATCATGCTGAGTGAAAGAAATCTAATCTCAAAAATTTATATGCTCTATGATTCCATCCATCTAACGTTCTTGAAATGATAGAGTTATAGTGATGGAGAAGGTTGGTCGTCGGGGGTTAGGAATGGGAGGGATGGGGTGCATGAGGCTGTTAAGGGGGTAGTAGGGGGGTTCCTTGTGATGATGAAAACTACACACATGCACAAAAAAGTGTATGTAAAACTGGTGAGATCTGGATAAGCTCTGAGGACTGTCAATGACAGTCTTGAATTTCCTGGTCTTCATATTGTACAATAGTTGTGTGAGATATTACCATGGGGAGACAAGGTGAAGGGTCCTCGAGACCTCCCTGAAATTTTTTTTTAACTTCCTGTGCATCTATAGTTATTTCCAACTGAAAAGTTAGAAAATAGTGACTGAAAGTCTGAGAGTAATGGGGTAATTATTGATTCACAGGAAACTAAAGGTAAAATCAAGAAATAAAAACCTTTTTTGCTCAGTGGTGAAGCTGTCAGAATCATTCAGTTCTAAAAGTTAAGCATTTTTTATTAGACTTTCCTTCAAAATGTGATGCCTTATTTCATCAAAGAGAATAGAAATGAAAGTATCTTGAAATGTATCAAGGTGTTCATGTGGAAATACAAGCTCATGATGTGCATAGCAGATACAGTCTTCTATGCTGGGATGTAAACCTTGGGTGACCAAACAGTGTCTGTCAGAACCATAGAGAGAATACTTGCATGCTGTACGGTTTCCAAGCCTCTTTCTCAGTCATTATCCAACAACCTCTGCAAGGTTAGGTATTTCCAAGGAGCAGAGAGTGAGAAGAAATAATAAATGGAGTTATTATAGAACAATTTAGGAGCATCCATTAGAGCACTTTGAACCACCGAAAGGGGTTGTCCAATTACAGTGTTACCTGTAAAGCATGTACACATGGAGCAGAATAGCTTATTATTGTTTTAATGCCTGCTGACCCAAATAGGATAGATCTTTTGTTGTTTTCCTTGACTTGACCTCTATAGCTTTTCACTGGGGTTTTTTCCTCTTGGCAGTTAACAGTAGCAAAGTGAAGACGGCACCTAAGCTCTGTTCAACCCTGACTCTCTCTGGTCTTGTGGAAGTAAAAGAGGTATGTTTGTAGATGGCTTTCTTTGCTGGGAATTTAAACCCTGGGTGACTAAACGCAGTATCTCTCTGTCAGATGATCCAGGGAGAATCAAGGGGAAATAACAGCCCTGAGGTGAGGGGATCAGTGCGGCTTAGATTAGGAAACAGGTTGGGAATTGCTTCGCATGTGAGATATGTGATGCCTCAAAGGACGAGACCTCTGAAACTGATCTTCAGAGAGACTCAGCTTGGGCCCGCGTGGGTTGGGGCGTTGGTACTAGCGGAGACCGCTGAGGCGGGGTGAGAGCGACGTGTCTCTTAATGGACACCAAGCTTAGGCCCAAGTGAAGGGCACCCACCTGGACCTTCCTCAGACTTTTGGTGGGAGGCTGGAGTAGGTTGGAGGCGGAAGTCCATTTCTGAAAGTTCAATACAAATATTAACATTAAAAAGAGGTATTTATGGTTCTGCGTTGTTCCCTGACGTTGGAATTTTCTTGTGTGCTGGGGGGCGGCGGGGGTTGTTGTACCAGGAGAGCTGTTATACCGCTGATTGGCCGCATGACCTAGGGCCTTAAGTTTCTTTATGCCTGCCCTTATTCTTCTTTTTAGTTAAAGGCCTTCCATTGTTTATTCTAAAATATGGGACGTTCACAAAAGCTCAATTAAGTCTAAAGAATATAAAATGTAAAGTGACATTCCAGGCCTTGCTTACGCTTCCCTTCTCCACCAGTACATTTTATGGTGTGGCTATTCAGACTTCTTGTGTATTCACAAGTGTGCACTGTGTGTGTGTGTGTGTGTGTACACTATTTTTCCCTGTAAATAAGGTCATAGGTATACGTTGTTCAGTCCCTAGCTTTTTTCCCCACCTTTAGATATCCTCGACGTTTATCCACCCCACTTTCTTATTAACGATGGAACAACACTCAGTGTGATAGATGGACTATGATTTATTTAACCATTTCATAATTGTTGGCATAGAGGTGGCACCGCCACCTTTTTTCCTCCCTTTACTGTCTGCTGCTTCTTCCTAAGAACCATGAAAAGCATTGCCCTCCCCCCGTGGTTCTTTTTCTCTACTTTTTGTTGTGGGAATGCTTCCCTGCTACAGGTTTTGATCCTATTCAACAGCCTATTCAACATGTCTGATTCATCTTCATAATAATCCCTGCAACCCCCACAGTGACTAGCACAGTGCCTTGTACCTAATAGACAGATGTTTGATAATACTTTGAAACTTTCCAAGGGGTAGGCTCAATGTAAACATGTGGACAAAAGTTACACTCTGGGGTCCTCATCAGTGAGAAACTGAATATAAGACCTGCAGTGATGCCTGGAAAGGGGACATAGTACAACATCATTTTGTAGAAGGAGTGTGGCCTCATTCTTTGATGTCTTGAATTCCAGCTGCAGCGTGAGTCCTTGAGCCCTGAGGAGATTCAGTCTGTCCAGGAACACCTGGGTTACCACAGTAACAGCCTGCTGTCTGTGCAGATCACAGGCAAAAAGCCCAACTTTGAAGTGGGTTCTTCTAGTCAACTTAAGCTTTCTGTTGCCAAGAAGTCTTCAGGTAAGGCTGTCCTGGGGGCATTGCTGTGTCCCAGTGGTCCTGGAAGGCCAAGTTAGAAATTGAGCCAAAGATCTGAGGGAGGTGGTGATATCTTTAGAGGACCAGTCCCTTCCTTAATTTCTCTCATTTCCAAGTGGAAGAATGCTTATGTACTGTCATCCCGGGCATATTTGGATCCCAAACTGAAATGACACATAGATATTACTTGGTTCGGCCCCTTCTGCACCAGAGGACACTGAGGCCTCCAGATTCTAGAGGCCTGAGTCCCTTAGCTTCATCAGCTAATGAAGTCTTCCCAGGCCCCAGAATTATGAAGTTTACCCTCAAAAGACCTCACGGTGGCTGCACAGCAGATAAGAGTGCCCTGTTCCTCTTCCCTGTGCCACTGAAGTCAGCTTTTCTTTCTTTGAGAATCTTAAGACGCTTATAAAATAAATCTTCTGTTCAGAAAATTGCACCCTGCCCTTTACCACCACTCTCGCCCTTCCTACTGCTGTTTTTTAATGCCTGAGATGAGAAAAATTGTCCCAGCTGTGAGGTGTGCAGAAATTTACTGGTATATTTACACTGCTCTGTTTTGACTGTCCAGCCCAAATCTTTTTTTTTTTTTGAAAGAGTACAACTTTATTTTATTTATCTATTTTTGGTGGGGGTGGTTATTAGATTTATTTATTTATCATTATATTTTAATGGAGGTACTGGGGATTGAACCCAGGACCTCACGCATGCTAAGCATGCCTCTACCACTTGAGCTATACCCTCCCCCCAGCCCAAATCTTTAAGAAATCCTCTGGCATCCTGATCTTTGATTCATAGTCCAGAACAGGTAGGAGCAGCTTAGATGCGCAGTTTGCCCTGGGGGAAGGTCTGAGCATCTAGTTGTGACAGTGACCACCAGGGGGCGCACTCCCCCCAAGACCCATCCGAGGACCAGCCCACACTGAACCTGTGGTCTCAGCTCTTTCAGGCTCTTCCCTGCCTTCCTCTGGCCCGGACAGAGAATCAGGAGGTGTGAGGTTTAATTTGTTGTTACACTGTCACCATCAGCTCTACAAGGTTTACATGAGGCCAAAGCTTTGCTTTTGATGATGCTTTTTGGCACACTTTCTTATTTAATCTTAAAATCTCCTGCAATAGATAATAGGGAATACTACTTGCCTCATGTTGTAGGGATGGAAACTAAGATAAGGAGGAGAAAGCAAAGATAAGGAGTGGGAGTGAAAAGCGTTAGACAGCGTCTGTATTTGTGGCTGTGTAACTGGCCTAAGTATCTAAACCTGTTACCTCATTTATAAAATTAGGACAACAAATAATTACCTCATAAGGTTGTTGGCAGGACTAAACTAGATAATGTTTGTAAAATGCTTAACATAGAGTCTGGCACAGAGCAAGTGCTTAACAAACGATAGCTTTTGTTACCATAAGGTGGTGGGTCCCGGTCGTGCCTCTGTAAGTGGTAGAACTAGGCCTTGCACCCAAGCCTTCTGACTCCCAGCCCAGTGTGTTCCCTGCACAGAGTCTTAGTAGAAGGCACTTACGTGTGCTGGGAGCTTGTTTCCGGCTGCTTTTATGGAACTCGTTGTCTTTTACTGGTTTGACTCAGGGAAGCCTGCTGTGGACCCTGCAGCTGTCAAGCTCTGGACCCTCTCGGCCAATGACATGGAGGATGAGAGCGTGGTGAGTGGCTACTGTGGTCGTAGTTCAGAGTGGCCCCTCTGGGCCTGGAGGTCTGAAGATATTTATAGCCCAGCATTGTGGTTGTGCTTGTCACTGGCATTTTTGATTGAGAAGGAAACTCCATATTAGTGGCATTTTAAATTTCTTTTTCAGCATCTTTCCCCAACAGATTTTCTTGTTCTCACTTCATGTGATATATTAGACTCTTGGGTGTGTGAGAATCGGAAAAGAGTTTGTCAGCTAAAATATATTTTGGCTCCTTTGTCTGGACAAGTCACTGAACACTCACTGTCTTAAAAGTTATACTTTTCCATCTTAGATTAGTACTGTCTATAATAAAGTTCATTTCTGCAACTCTTGAAGGGATAGTGGTAAGCAAAATAGGTGATGGTTTGTGCCCATGCAGAGCTTACAGATAATTGTCCACACATTTATCAAAGAATTACACAAATGTATGTATTATTATTTGCCTTTTTCTCTGGAACTATGTAGAAAATATTTTATTCCCTTATCTCATACAGCAGCCCTTCATATATTCAAATAAATATAACACTTGTCTCTTTGTGCTTCCTCCTCCCTCCCACCCCTACTCTACACACCTGTTCTCTGCACATCGTAAGTGAGTTCCCAGTCCCCTCACAACCCAGTACACCTTCTGTGCACATAGTTCCTTCCCCATGCGGCCAGCTGGGACAGGTGGCTGACCCCAGGTCTTTTGGGGATGCCTTCTTCACATAGATGGGTAGACTGCTGTGGCTTGTGACCGCTTAAGTTGTTCATCAGCAGAAACCATGACCGTGTCACTAACGGCTTCAAATGCTGTCCAGGATCTCATTGACTCAGACGAACTGCTGGATCCCGAAGATTTGAAGAAGCCGGACCCAGCGTCCTTGCGGGCTGCTTCCTGTGGGGAAGGGAAAAAGCGGAAGGCCTGCAAGAACTGGTAAGCACTGGGCTGAGCAGAGGCTGCCACGCTGCTTCCAGTGGCTTCTGATTCTCAAGGAATCGCAAACTTTAAAATTACTGAAACATGTTTTATTGTAAAGTGTATAGACGAGTATGCTAAACCAGTACATTTTAAAGAACAGTAAAATGATCACCCGTTTACTGATCACACAGGTTAAAAATCGGAAACATCACTAGTACCTTGGAAGTCACCTGTGCTCGCTCCCTCTCCCCACAGGAGGTCATCATTCTCCTAAGTTTGTGCTCATCTTTCCTGGATTTTTTTTTTTATAGTTTACCATCTATGTGTGAGTCTCCAAACAATTTGTTATTGAGTTGTGAAGCCCAAACCTGACTAAGCCAGGAAAGGTCAACACTCCATATCTGTAAATGCTCACCAGGGACTTTGGTCTGGGCTTCTTTGGGAATCTACAAGAGCCCCTCGCAGGGAAGTCAGCAGGGAGTCAGGGGTGAGTTCTGGGAAACCAAGAGCACCACGGCTAGAACCCCTGTGACGCAGTGACTGGCCGGGCAGCAGAAGTGTGGTCGGAGGGAGTGGAGTGCCGGCTGTGTCCTGCTCTAAGCTCAGTTTCAGGACCAGCTCCAAGCTGAGTACTTCTGTTGCATGAAATGTGTCCTCAAGTGACCATCAGGGCGTGGAAGGGAAAGTTGAATGTCATTAGCACACAGTGGAGATAACCCAAGGTCATTATCTGGATGAGCTCTTAGAATGATGGCAGTCACAGCCAGTGGCAGGCTTCAACCGTCTGGGTCAAGTGTCTCTTGTGCCCCTGCCCCGGGGCACACACGGGGCTGTGTGAAGCAGAGCTGATGTCTTGGGACCCCGTTCACTGTCCTAAGGAGTCCCTTCTCTCTGTCTGATGCTAGCCTTTCTGTTTCTTGTTCCCATTGCTGCTTTTTTCTTGGTTTTCTCTTTTGTTTTGGTGGAGGAATTCTCCAGTCATTTTTTAAGCAAGGCTACCTGAGAGGTCCAAATTTTGTTTTTTGTCTTTTTAGACTGTGTATGTCCAAAAATGCCTTTTTTCTATTCTCATAAGTCATTGGTAATTGGGGTACAGAAATCTAGGTTGAGAATAATTTTCCAGACAGTTCTGTCATCTTTTTTCCAGTGATTGTGATGAGATACCCAAGGCCATTCTGTTTTTTGATCCTTTCTGTAAGACCTCTTTTTCCATTTTTGAAAGTTTGTAGAACCTGTTCTATCCTGGTATCATTTTGTAATAACATATCTTGTGTAGGGATCTTTTCCATCCTTTGCACCAGCTACTCAATGCATCTTTTCTTTCTAGAAACATGTGTCTGTAGTCCTGGGAGATAATCTTTAATTTTGTATTGATTTTTGTCTTCTCTCTTTTCCCTTTCTTTAACCTGGTTCTCAGCTGTTGGATCTCTGATTGGTCCTGTAATTTTCTTTTCTTTCACATTTTCCTTATACCTTACTTTCTGGGAAATTTTCAGCAAATTTATCCTCCAAAACCTCTGTTGATTATTTCTACTATCATGTTTTTAATTTTTAAGATTTCTTTTTTGGTTTTGGCCTTTTTAAAATATAGCATCCTGTTTTTATTTTGTGGGCATGATTTTTTTCCTCTTAAGAACAGTGATACTTCTTTCCATTTTCCCCCTCTGCATAGGGCCTGTTTCTTCCAACTTGCTTTTTTCTTTAAGTTTAGTCTCTGACTTACCTGTTAGAGCTTTCTTAAGATGCCTGGTAACCCTTGGTTGTCTTCATGATGAGGAATGGATGACAGAAGGCTCACTGGGGTCTCTGAGCTTACAGGAGGGCTTTGTTGACTGCACTTCAGTGAAAGGATCCTGGGGGGGGCCTTTTGGGGGAGCACCCCAAAGTCATTATCTTTGGGTCTGCCCTTTGGTTGCTCAGAGAAGCGTCTTGCTAGGGCTGCTACTTCTGGTGCCGTGTGGGGTTTCAGGCTGTGACGTGGGTGGACACTCAGTGTTCCTCACTGCTGGCGTGGGGCTTCGCGTCCTCAGTTTGTCCTGTCACCGCTCCCTCCTCCATCTGCTTTACAGGCTCCGACACTGTACTGCTATTGTCTCTTCACCTGTAGTCCCTGCTTCTGTGGTTTGTCTTTACTGAAATTTTGATGGCATTTTGAGAGAAGTGAAATTAGATGTATGCATGCATTCCGTCTGTCCTCTTAACCAAGAAACCTTGGTGTTAGAATTGTTACAGTTTTATAAGTGGATGGAAAGGGTGTTAAAAGTTAACTGGTGGTGTGCAGCCTTGTTTAATCATCAGAATTTTTTTTTAGCTTTGCATTTATTTTTAATTTTTAATTTTTAAAATTTTTTTAAAAATCAAGATTGTTATTTATTTAAACTTTTTTATTGAGTTATAGTCATTTTACAATGTGTCAAATTCCAGTGTAGAGCACAATTTTTCAGTTATACATGAACATACATATATTCATTGTCACTTTTTTTTTTCGCTGTGAGCTACAGTATTTTTTTTTTAATGTGGAAGTTTCAGCGTTGACAAATCAGGAGACTTCAAGTAAACATCCAAAACATTTTTTCTGTTTCTAACATTGGAAAATATGGGGCCACTAGGTCTGCTTTTCCCCACAGCATGAATCAGCTGAGGCTGAGTAGTGCCTGCCCTTTGTGGACAGGGCACCTGCCCTCTGGTTCCTCCATTCCCAACACTCTCCCATCTCCCTGAACAGCCTCACGTGTTCATCTTACCTACCTGGCCTGGCAGGCATTTGGGTTATGACACCCGTATAAAGAGGGAAGTCGTGTAGCACATTTTGGCGCTGTCAAGGATTTGGAGTTTCTGGGTGGTGCAAATCTCACTCATCAGCCTCTGACTTTCCCCCAGCACTTGTGGCCTCGCAGAAGAACTGGAAAAAGAGAAGTCAAGAGACCAGATGAGCTCCCAACCCAAGTCTGCTTGTGGAAACGTAAGTGTCTGGATGAGTACTTGGTATCCACGAAAGCCCAGTGGTGCTGGGCATCGTCCTGGCTAAACTCAGGCCAGCTCCAGCTCTAGGGAACATACCGCCCACAGAGCTTAGTGAAAGGTGAGCAGTGAGCATGCGTCTGTAGGTGCTGCGGGGAGCGGCGGGGAGGAGGGGTTGCCCGCGAGTGGGCCGCGTGCTCACGCGGTGGCGGTGGCGGCACTTGTCATTTCTTAGTTTTGGCCCCTTTCTTTCTGCTTCCTGCCGGGCCCACTGCTTCTCAGCCATTTGGCTGACTGTGGCTGTGACTTGAACTGCTGAGAACGTAGAAATGGGGCCTCCTGAGGAACTTCTCTCTCTTAGACCCCTGTTTCTCATGAAACCAGAGGTCTTAGAAACTCTTAGTATTTGGATCTCAGCTGGGCCTTCAGATGCATCTGGGCGTTTTCCTCAGGCTGCGGTGGCCATGTTATGAAACTTGGGCTCCCTTTCTCCTGGCCTGTATCTCTGACCTTCCGCTTCCCTGTACAGTGGTCTCTTCTCTCTCCCACCAGTGCTACCTGGGCGATGCTTTCCGCTGTGCCAGCTGCCCCTACCTTGGGATGCCAGCCTTCAGACCTGGGGAGAAGGTGCTTCTGAGCAACAGCGGCCTCCACGACGCCTAGGAGGGGCCGGCCTGGGACCCGTGCCCTCGGCCGCTCCTGCCCCTGAACCCTACCACTGTGGTTCCCCCCATCTCCTCTGGATTTCCTCACTCTGTCTGACGTCCGTCTGTGGGGAGGGTGCTCAGTACAGAGTGGGGCCGGCTGGGGCCAGTGGTGTGCAGTGCTGCTTACAGATCAAGACCACGGGGTCCTGGGGCCCCATTACCTGGAGCAGGGACCCTCTTCACCCAGTGTTAGGCAGACAGAGCACGTCCAAAGAGGTCCCTCTCCTGCTGTCAAAATACTGACCGTACACTCTCCAAGCCCAGTGCCCTTAAGTATTAACTCTGTGACCGAGAGGGACTCGCCCCCATTTGAGCTCCGCAGTAGTGCCACGGCTTACCTTCCAGAGTTGATAGTTTATTCACCCTGCCGTTCTGGTGACCTGAGGCAATTGTCTTGTGACCTCTCAGCGCACCAAGGGAATCACTCACTGGTTGCTGTGATGATATCCGGTGTCCCTCTGCCCCCTCCCTCCTGCCCCCTCCCCACTTTTACTGTGTTGTATGTGTCCTGTTGTCCTTTCTGTTCATCTCCAGGTATTAAACTTGTGTACTTAACTCATATTCATTGTGAAGAAGGGATATGTCTGTGTGTGTGTGTGCGCACGCACACGCGTGCATGTGTGTGTTGTCTGACACAGCCATCCAAGCTCACCTGGGACAACAAAACTCTTTTTTGGAGAGACTTCGTGTCATACCAAATGGGGCCAGTCCTGCACTTACAGATCAGGGCCTCACTCTGTCTGCTTTAGAATAGTCCAAGTTTCTGAGCATTCAGAGAGAAGCAGGACAAATTTGAACCAACAGTGTATCTCTGAGCAGGAGACCCTTCGTTGTCCTTGCTACCCACCCACACAGATTTGGAATTGACCTTGCCAAATAGTGAGTGAGATGGTGTGGCTTTAAGAGACCTGGGTTTTTCTGTTTTAACAATAAAGAAAAGTGTTCATTGGTGTTTGTCCTTGAAACTTGACTTCATTCTCTAAGTTTGCTTTTGCTTATCCTAGTCCTTGCTGGTGGATTTTATTTATGGATGTGGCTAACTTCTAGTTTGACTCCAAAGCCCCTGTGGTGGGCTGAGTTCTGAGATGACCCCCACATTGCCCCCATGCCCTTAGGTAATCCCCTGCTCTTGAGTTTGAGCAGGACCTGTGAGTGGGATGGGACATCACTACTATTATTAGATTATACTGTGTGGCAGGTATGAAGGGATTTGCAGGCATCAAGTCCTTCATGGAACCCTTTACACTGTCGGCAGGAATGTAAATTGGTGCAGACACTGTGGAAAACAGTAAGGAGGTTTCTCAGAAAAAACAATAGTAGAGCTACCATAGGATTCAGCTATTCCATTCCTGGGTATATATCCAAGAAAAACAAAAAAAAATAATTCAAAAAGATACCTGTACCCCAGTGTTCATAGCAGCATTATTTACAATTGTCAAGATAAGGAAGCAACTAAAGTGTCCATCAACAGATGAAGAATAAAGATAGTGTGTATATGTGTACACACACACACACATATGCACACAATGGAATATTACTTGGCCATAAAAACGAAAGTGCCATTTACAGCAACATGGATGGACATGGAGGGTATTATGCTAAGTGAAATAAGGCAAAGACAAATACTGTATGATATCACTTATATGTGGAATTTAAAAAAATAGAACAAACTAGTAAATATAACAAAGATACAGACAGAACAAACTAGTGATTACCAGTGGGGAGGGGAAATACAGGGGTGGGAGGTATAAAATTAGGTATAAAATAAGCCATGAGGATATATTGTGCAATACAGGGTGTATATAGCCAGTATTTTATAATAACTATAAATGGAGTATAACCTTGAAACATTGTGAATCACTATACTGTACACCCATAACATATACATCAACAAAATAATAAGAAAAAAAAGTCCTTCATGGACTGTCAGCTAAAAGGGAGATTATTCTGAGTGGGCCTGACCTAATCAGTTGATCCTTTAAAGGACTGGAGACCAAGGTTCTCTTGCTGGCCTTGAGTGGCCGTGTTGTGAGGTCCATAGGCAAGGAACTGCAAGCAACCTCTGGGACCCAAGAGCAGACCCTGCTGACCATCAAAGAGAAAATGGGCCCTCGGCCCCATAATGACACGAGAACAGAAATCTGAACTGAACAACCATGTGAGCTCGGAAGAGGACCCAGGCTCCAGATGAGATGCAGCCTGGTGGGTCCCAGCCTCTGCGCCTGGACTCCTGACCCTCGAAATCAGAGATAAGTGTATGTGGTGTTAAGCCACTAGATTTGGGATAATTTGTTACACAGCAATAGGAAACAGGTCCAGCCCTGGACTAGGTTTAACGTTAACAGATATTTACTGAGTCCAGCTGCAGGGGGTGTGTGTGTTGGTGAAGGACACTTAGTTGCTTCTGCTTCAGTTGCTAAGGTGAAGGACGAAAATCTCTACCTGCAGGTTGAGTACCAGAGATCCTGAGCCAAAGAGCCCTGGGCTGGGTTTAGCAGAGACCTGGGCAAATGCCACGAGCTCTTGCTGGCCTGGTTCTTGTTCTGCGTCCCTGCTGCTGCTGGCAAAACGGGTGATGCTACCTCCTATCTGCTGCACCTGGCAGAGTTAAGGGCCCCATTCTGGCAGCTGCTGGATCATCCCACATGAGGGTCAGAGGGAGGCCAGCCAGCTTGGAGTCGGGGCCAGCAGGCTGCAGAGTGGCCTGGCCAGCCAGCAACTCAGCACAGTGAGGCCATGCGGGAGGGGCACTGGTCCCCACACCCAGTGACTTTGGAAGATAGAAGCTCTGAAGGGAGGTTTTGGAGCTAAACACAGTCTCAGCACTGAATGCAACCTCAACTTACATTTGAGGCCACTAGGTGAGACAGAGACAGGGACTTGCCACCACTGATCAACTGAGAGCCTTTCAAGGTACTCAGACATTCTGTCAGGAGACCTGGGTAGGGCTGGGGAATCTGAATTTTTTGGTCAACTCTCTGAAGCCTTTGCCAAAACCTGGCAGCCAACAGCTGGGAAGTCCCCCTTTCTCTGAAATCACTCCAAAGCACCAACTGGTGTGGGCAGCTGGGCAAACCACACCTTCCTTGGGGTTAGGACACAGCCCAAATGCAACCACAAGATAGTCGGAAGGCGTCCGCAAGCGGGGGCTTTACAGCTGGAGTGTGGGAAGGAGAGAACAATGAGGCCACAAACCTGCTAGGGGCTAAGGACTCCCCTTGAGTTGCAAGATCAAGCCCCTGACCATGTTGTAGCAGGGGGTCCGAGGGCACAGGTAGCAGCAGGGCTGAAGGAAGCATCCCACCGAGCACCACGTATGCAGGAAGCTCTCCGGTCATTGAGCATGAGAGAGGCGTGGCTTTGAGATCATCCTACAGCCTCCGGCTGGTTGTGCGGGGGCGGGGACACGTGGAGCCTTTAGTACTGATGAGGGCGTGGCCAGGTGGGAACCCTTCCACAAGGCTGGTGGGATTGGTTCACAATTACCCCCCACCCCAGTGCCAGTTTCAACCCTAGCCTTATATTAGAATCACCTGGAAAGCTTCCCCCCAAAACAACAAAAGCACCAATGTCTGGGACCCTTTCTTTCCAAAGACCCCTTAAGTCAATCGTTTGGAATAGGGCTGTAGGCTGTAAGCATTTTGGCAAAGCAGTCCCAGGTTAGTGCCTCCAGGGTTGAGGACCACTGCCCTAGAGAAATTCTTCTACACATGCACTGGAAGACAAGCTTACAAATGTTCAAAGGGGCACTTTTTGTAATAGCTAGAACCTGGATATAATCCAAGCGGCCATTAACAAGAGGATGGGTGAAGGAGGCGTGTTGTCACAGAGGGAAAAGTGATGAGTTGTAGCTGCACATCAGCGTGGAAGAATCTCACAAAACGTGGAGCCACAAGAGCAGGTTACAGAAGAGCATGTGTATGAAACACGTCACTTTTACATAAAGTTCAAGAGTTTAAAAACACCCAAGCTGCATCAATACATTGTTAGGGATATACGCATACACACACGTGTATGATGTACGTACACAAGTGTGACAAACAAACCAAGGAGAATGACAGACACACAATTCAGGAACACACAATTCAGGAACATCCTCCTAGAGATAGGAGGATGGCGACAGGGAGGGGGACATGGGGACATGGAGCAGCAGGAAGGCTCTTTTTTAAGCTGGCTGGTGAGTATACAGGTGTTTATTTTTATTGGTTTGTATACCTTACATATACATTATATATTTTGTATTGAAACAAATTTCATTTAAAAAAAGAACTAGGAAAACCCACACATAAAACTCTGGGTCTTAAGGAAAATGCCTATTAACCTGGAACAAAATTCTGTGCCTCCCTGACATGAACCTCCAGGAAATATTTGGCTTAGTTAATATTGTATTCAAAATTATAAAACTGAAACCAACACAAATAATAATAATACTAACAGAAGCAACAGAGAACGTTGCCACAGAGCACATAAATATTGTCTGTGATCAAAATTTTTACTACAAATCACACAAATGTATAAAATATAATGCCAAAGCACAAGGAAATGATAAGGCAGAGAGAGAGAGAGAGAGAGATCTGTGATGGAAACGTGAAATGGCAGAGCAGAGGCAAGAGGTGAAAAACAGTAACATCCCTGGTACAGAGTCAGTATTGGAAACAGCACTAGGAAGAATGGACAGGGCTCAACCCAGGGACAGGATTTCATCAAACTAACCCAAATGAAATGAGAATAAAGAGAGAAAAAGAATCAGGGGGAAAATGATAAAGCACAGAAGATAGAAGAAACACCGTTAAGGAATCAGAATAATTACTTAAAGTCACAACTCAAGACATTTTCAAGAAAAGAAGCAGTAGTTGATACGTAGATTGATGGAAAAAGTGATACAGAACACTCACCAGGAAACATAATAGTTTTGTCGGACGGTGTTTTGAGTCCCAGAATCTGCACCTGCGGAAGGAGGGCTGTGTGTGCATCACCAAGGGGCGGTGTTCGGGCTTTAGTTCCTGCACCGTGAAGATGTGTGATGCTACCTGTAAATGAGTGCCTTGAACACTTCTGTGAGTCCAGAGAAGTTTCTGGTTTGTGCTTGTTTGTGTTCTGTCCATTCCCTCAGTCTTTCTTTGCTTCCTTGCTGTCCCGGCACAGAGATAGACTTGCGGGGAAGGGACAAAGCGGCTCTGCGCACAGCTCTTTCCCCCTTGCTGGACAGCAGGGACCGAACGCTCCACTCTGCCCTTGGTGGCCTCAGACCTCACCTTCTGTTGTCACTTCCGGGTGGTCACCTTGTGGACTGGTCCTCACCATCCCTCTGCAAAGCCTTGTGATGAACTGGAAGCTGCATTTAGACTCAGCCGGGCTCAGCAGTGCTCAGAAGCCCCTCCCTTCCTCCCTCCCTTCCCTCTTTTTCTTTTTATCACAATTAATTAAGCATTTTTTCTTTTACATGACGACAGATTTCAGATACAGAGATACAGGTATAATACGACAGACAATCAGGTAGGCTGTATTTTGATTCCGATCACTCTGTATAATATGGGAAGTGTCACAGCTGTCCCTCTCCTCTCCCTGTCCTCCTCAGGGGTGTTTCCCCCTCCTGAGGTCGTGTGTCACACCCATGCCTGCTTTTATACTGTTACTCAGCAGAAAAGAGTTTGTATGAAATATGTCTGTCTTTTATGGTGAAATTTGCACAAAACTAACAGTTTTAAAATGAATAATTCTGTGGCATGTAGTATCTTCACAATGATGTACAACCACCACTTGTCTCTAATTCCAAACATTTTCATCATTCCTCTCTGCCCCTGCCTCTGGTGACTACCGATCTGCCTGTTCCGGGCATTTCATGTAAATAGAATCATATAATCAGTGACCTTTTGTGTCTGGCTTCTCTCATATTGTGTTCAAAGTCCACCCATATTGTAGCAAGTACCAGTCCTCCACTCCTATCTATGGCGGAATAATATTCCACTGTGTGAATATACACTGTTTATTTATCCATCTGTCCATTGATGGACACTTGGGCTGTTTCTTCCTTTGGTGTCCATTGCACTGAAATGTCCTTTCAAGGCTCACTTCTCAACAAGATCCTGGCTCCTTTGCTTGTCTGGGTGTCTCATCCCTGCAGCGTGCGTGATGGCTTTGGAGAAGGGGTCATGGCGGTTCAAGTATGAGGAAACTGCAGGTTTTGTAGACTCTGATTTCCCCTAAGGGCAACATCAGAGGCAGAACAGCAGCAGACTGAGCCTCATTCTCTTGACTGGCTACATCTTGAAACAGATTAGAGAAGGGTCTGATTTCAGCATCTCATGGAGAAACAGGAAGAGGAAGCAACCGTGTCAAGGGCCCAGAGCAAAGACATAAGACAGAACAGGATCCTGACCCCCATCTGTTAAAATGTACCTGTAGGATTTAAATGTATGTAGGTGACTGATGACATGGAGAGCTCAATGCCATTAAAGAAGAATTTATTACTTATATTTCCCAGGAGTAGGGGCCATGCCACACCACGCAGGGCAGGAGGAGAAGCGAGCCAAAAGCCACAGCCCTGACTGGGGTTTCATGGGGACAGCAAGGCGGGGCAGGGCAACGACTTGAGGACTGGCCAGTGGGAGTCATTCCGGTGGGCTCCAAGGCGTGGGTGCTGTTGCTCATTGTCTGGTACCTGGCCCTGGGTGATTTGGGGAAACAATGGTTCAGGGAGTGAGGTATATAAAGGAGATGGCTAGTGGCCTCGGGATTGGTTGGAGAGTTTGCAATGTGATTTTTCTGTGCCTTCGAAAGCTGGATCACAGGGGAGATGCAACTTGTGATGAGTGGATGCCAAATAGCAAATACAGGCTGTAAGAAATCACAGTGAGAACAGTCCAGGCGCAGCGCTCTTAACACTGCCCACGGTACATCTGGATTTAGTAGCCCTGCAAATCCCAGCAATGGTATTCCTTCTCACTAAGCGCTGAGGGTGTAGCCTCTGCTCCCTCAGGAGAAGGGCTGGCCAGCCGCAGACACCCTGGCCTAAGGCCCTGGGCAGCTACAATCAGATGTGGGTGACCTCAGCCCCGGGGGACAGAGCTGAGGCCAGGGCCCCATGGACCAACACATCAGTCTCAATCATTATTGGGGGCCGGAGTGCCCTCTTGTGGGCAACTGGAGAGCAACACAATTCTAAATTCCACTGCAATGCTGGTCTTTAAGGAGGGCTAAATCAGGGCACTACTCCTCCTGGAGTTTCTCTTTTTTAATGTGCTTCTCATGGAATTCACCTGGGAGCTTGCTGATGAAAATATATAAATCAAATTTCCACTATGCACAAAGCACTCCTCCCGCCTTATAGTGAGTCAGGAAGTACTGAATTGCCTGACCCAAAATATCTGCCCCAGTGAGCTCACCAGTGAGTCAAACACTCAAGTAACTGTAATTACAGAAGACAAAGTATGGCAAAGATTGAGCTGAGGTAAAAGCAGAGGGCTGGCAGAGGACACAGAGTGGGGCATCAGCTGCAACCAAGGAGACCAGGGAGGGCTTCCTGAGGGAGGCAGCATTTGAGCTGAGCTCTGAAGGGGGACTGGATTTTGGACAGGGAGCAAGGGAAGCACTTTCCAGGTGGAAGGAACAATGAGAGGCCAGCGCCCCTCCCCACTGTTCTCTGGTCTCTGCCCCGTCCTCTTTCTTCCTACCTCCCTGTTGCCAGTCATGGGAAGTCTCCCAGTCATGATTCCTTAAAATGGCTTCTTCCCAGGGGGACATGGTGGCTGGTCCCATCTCCTGCATCTTGTCCCACCCACCTTGCACCCTGATCCTGCCATCACACATTTGGATTCCAAATCCTGCATTTTGTTGCCAGTCCTGGATCCACCTCTCCCCAGCTGAGGGACCTTGAAGCCACCCTCCTGCTAGGTCAGTCTCAGGGTCCCGCTGGTAACCTCTTACCTCCTCACAGTCCTCGATTTATCTGAGTTCACAATATGGGCCTCTGAAGAAGATTTCACTAAATAAAAAAGGATTTGATTCTTTTAAGGAAAGTTGGCAATGCATTGGATTACATACCTGTTCTCTGAGTGTCTTTCTGGCAGGGTGAGGGGTCCGCGCCCCAGCCTTTGCTCTTCTTTGCTGTCCCAAGGGCTCCTCCTTGCCTCCCCCCATTTTGAGATCATTTTTTCTCCACTTCTCACCCTCCGTGGATCCAGACAATATTTTTCCACGAAGAATTCAGACTGGGCTGCCCCAAGGACTCTGGATCGGAGGCAGTTTGAAGGATACTTCTTGGGACCAGGGCAGGGAAAAAGCCCACCAGTGGCTGAGGAGGCCCTGGGGTCACAGAGACAACAGTTCATCACCATCATCAGCCTTATTATTATTATTATTATTTCTGTTGTTGCTTCTCATGGAAAGTGGATTTGGCCTGACATCTGGCCTGCAATAAGACAACTGGCCACAAGGGGGTAACAGGAGGTATAAGCTTTACCTGAAAATAACTCTCCCAATTGCAGCCCCGCCAAGCAAGCAACCCAGGTCACAGAATCCCAAGAGAGGACCCACTGCCCCTGCACCCAGACTTCGCCCCAGAGAGAGAAGCTAGAATCCCACAGCTGGTTAGGAGAGTGAGACAGAACTAGAATCTGAAGACTCAAACATCCTCCCACTCCCTTATGGCTCCAGTCCTGAGCTGGGCCTGGACAGAGGGCTTTGGGGGTGGGGAGGGTCCATAACCTGCGGGTCCCCATCCTTCTGAGCACGTGGGCTGTGGGATCCCCAGGGACACTCATTGAGCTCCCAACACAGTGGAGGAGTCCGGCCCAAGAGACACACACGGGAATCAGTGGGAGAACAACCCCCACAGGCAGCCCTAGAGGCCCTAAGAGCTGGAGGGATCAGAGCAGGAGAGAATCCGGCGGGCAGCTGTACTCAGAGACGGCTTCCTGGAGGCTGGCTTGGCCGAGGCTGGGTGGGATGTCAACGCTGGGAGGTGGTGATCAGCCTTCAGGTCAGCAGAAACCAGGGACCATGTGGGGAGTGGCCTGACAGGGATGGGAGATGGGGGCTGGGAGCAGGGGGATGAGCTGGAGCAGGGGTGAGGCTCAGGCAGGGGAGCAGCTCTGGCCCTGGGCGCTGGCCTGGAGTTGGAGCCGGGAGAGGGAGCTGGGTGCAGGTGGAGCTGGGCCTTGCAGTGATTCTCAGGGGGTGGCTGTGTGGCAGAGGTCAGGGTTGGGGGGCTGAGAGGTGGGCTAAATGGGAAAAGGGCTGCAGGAGCCCCCAGGTGAGGGAGCTCCCCAGCACTTGATAGAACCCCACCCATTGAAGGGTCCTGAAAACATTTGTGGAATTGGATCAAATGTGTGTCTTCAGCTCTGCCTGGGGGGCAGGGTGGGGAGTCAGTTGAGAATGGGGCTGGCCTGGGAGGACTTCAGGGGCAGACAAGATGGGAGAGAATCCAGACGGCCCTTCCCAGGTCCCCTAACCTGCCTGTGCACAGCAGAGGGGAGGACCTGCTGGCCTCTTGTTGCCCTTGCCCTGCTCATCCCACGGGCCCCTCAGTGCCACCCCTGCTCGGGCCTCTCTCCTAGGACCTCCTCTCACTGAGGGTGGTCTGCACTCAGAGCCTCAGTTTCCCTCTCCAACCTGGACACGAAAGACCAGATGTTCTCTAGGGCCCTGGGGTGACAGGCCGGGCAGACAGAACATGCAGACCCAGACTGGGGGAGAAAGACTTTAATCAGACAAGGGGACAAGGGGCCTCTTTGTCCTCATCAGGCCTCCCTTGGACCCGGGGAGCTCAGGGTTGGAGCAGTGAACAAGGAGGCGGGAAGTCTCCGTTACAGGAAGGAATCATGACTTCTGGGTGATGAGGTCACGCAGCTTCAAGGCATTTTGCAAATATCTGACTGCCTTCTTCACCCATGCATCGTCGGGGTCCGAACAGATGGATCTGCCATGGCGAGTCACCAACCTACACAGAGGGAGAGAGCCGTGGTGGGGTCAGGGCAGGAAGGCCTGCCAGAGCCCCGGGCCAGCCTCACCCTGTGCTGACAGGGACCCTGAGGTCCCAAGCGTGGCAGGAACTTGCCTGCAGTCACACAGGGCGGCAGTAGCAGCTCTGGGGCATCGGGCTCTGTCCTCAGTGATCCCTGGCCCTCCCAGGGTCCCTGCTAGGCCTGGCCCCCCACCTCAGGATGCCCACACCTCAACAAGCCTGGGAACTAGGGGTGCACAGGAGGGGCCTGGTGCTCGGGGCTCAAGCCCAGGAAGGGGAGGTGACCACACTGGCCGCTGACTGCCCGTGTGGTGTGGGGCTGTCTCATCCCTCTCAGGGCCTCAGTTTTCCCCATAAATCAATGAAGAGCTTAGACCTCAGAGCATGGGGCCCTCTGGGGCCTTGTGAGGGGAGGTGCAGGAACTGCCCTGAAGAGCAGGGCTAGGGGGGTCAAGAGTCAAGGCTCTCTCCTCTCCTCTCCCCAGTGACCATTCTGGGAGCCCCAGGGTCCGCCTCCTGCCACACGCAGCTCCAAGGAGCAGCGGTGGAGGCAGGGAGGTAGGGACAGGAGTGGGGGACAGACTTACACGATGGCATCCCTGGGGCACTCCACTGAGGTCCAGTACCACTTCACCAGCTTCTTGAGAGGAATGGCTCCATTGAAGTACTCCAGGCAGCACTCCCGGCCCACGTTGACTCCTCGAGCTACAGGGAAAGCAAGTGGGAGCAGCTGCGTCTGAGTGTCCGCACGGGGGCAGGGGACTGTGGAGGGTCTGCACGTGTGTATCTGTCTGGAGGGGAGTCTGCATGCATGTGCATGTGTGTGTGTGTGGTGTCAGGCTGGGTCCATGTGCATGTGTGCATTTCTGCATGTGTGTGTATGTATTGTTCGGAGGTCCCTTGTGGGGGGTCTGGAATTGTGTTTGTGTGTGGGGAGTATGTAAGGGGTCTACACATGTGTCTCTGTGTGTGGGTCTGTGTTTGCCAATGTGTGCACATTTGTGTGCACGAGGTTCTGTGTGTACCTTGAGGGACTCTGTATGTTTGTCTGTGCACGTATCTGTGTGTGTATTCGGGAGGGTTTGTGTACATATGTCTGTGTGTGTGTCTTTGTGTGGGTATACATTTGTGTGTGAGGTCTCTGTGTGTGCTACTGGGCCAACTGTGTGTTTGCGTGTGCTTGTGTGTATGTGTGTGTGTTTGAGGAGTCTGTGCATATATGTGTGTATGTATTTGTGTCTCTGTTTGTGTGTGCACCTGTGTTGCTCATACTCAAAATACCAGCCCCGAATCACCAAACGCTGACTCTGGGCCAGGCTCTGGGCTGAGCAATCTGCCCGCAGCCCTCATTCAGTCCTCACAGCCCTCCTGGAGACAGGTGCTGTCACTACCCTGTTTTACAGATGAGAAAACGGAGGCCCAAGATGTGAAGACACTTTTCCTTGACTCAATTTCCTCATCTTTGCACAAGAAAAAATATCCAGCACTTGCAAACAGCCAAACCAGTGATGTGTGGCTTCAATTAAGATCATGGTTGAGTGATTTCTAAGAAGCCTCTGAGTGTCCTCTGACCACCTTGGGAGTGGAACTCAGTTCGACTCACTCAGAGTTGACTGGGCCTGGTGTTTTACAGAAGTGAGAGTGAACGTCCAGCCAACTGTGACGGTCACCCCGTTAAGATAACCCCAAAGACTGCGGCTGCGTCCCCGTGCAGAGCGCTAACCAGCTTTGTTCCGAAAGTAGTAATCTTATTTCAGCCTCCCTTTCCCAACTGAGTATAAAACCTTTTTCACCTGCTCTGGGAACCAATTCTCCTGCTTTTATACTGATCCTCTCATTGTATATGAGCCCCATTAATAAAACTGACTCTAGCAAACACTTTTGAGAATTGTTTATTTTCCACTATCGAAACGCAGACACAGTCACTGCCTCACAAAGATTGCAGTGTGAGACATGCAAGTGCTTTGTTCCTCAGAAGCCGAGCCCCAGGTCCTGGGGCCTCCTCATCCTCAACTTCATCCTCATCCTCAATATCACCCTCATCCTCATCCTCAACTTTATCCCCATCCTCATCATCACACTTACCCTCCTCCTCATCATTATTTTCCTTTGAATGCCTCCCTCAAAATCCTCTTGCTGCCAGCCTCTCACATCTTTGTAGGAATAAGCAGGCGGTAGGAATAATATTCACGTGTTGCTGTTGTGGTCTCGGAACCCCCGCCCATCCACTCCCGGTGTCCCTTCCTCCTGCTGCCTCTCCTCTGCTCTCACCTGCGTGGGTGTCCTTCAGGGAAGCCCCCAGGAGGAGGGCGACCAGGAACAGCATCTTCAGGGAGGTCATGATGTCGAGAGCCCAGGAGAAGGTCTCTATGTGTGAACCCCTCTGGTCAGAGGAGACCAGGTTGACAGCCAAGTGTGGAGGTGACCTATTTAACCTCTTGGGGGATCCTGCCCCGCCTCCTGTCACCTCCCCCATGCCCCTACATCCTTCCCTAGACCCATGGAGTTCGAAGAATTTGAAATGATTCAACTGAAGTCCAGTCTTGGAATGTTTGCGGCTTTCCAGAGAATGGGCACTCACTTGGGGACAGAAGTGGGGTCTGTGTGTCAGGGGGCCATGACACACTTCTCCTTTCATAGGGGACATTTCTTGGTTCCTCTATTAGCAGAACTGAAAAGCCTCCATTCTAAACTGGGTGAATCCCTGCTCTGAGGCTGGTGAGCCTCCTTCCTGACAGTGCCCTGGGCAGGGTTACAGCCAGGCAGGGGCCAAGAGGGGCAGCTTCACCATGGTCCGGAGGAGCTTCAGGGTGCTGGAAGGCCTTTTCAGGGATTGCCAGGCTGCATGGGCACATGGGTGGCTTTCTGCAAGGAGGACTCCATCCCCTTCTGAGAAAGGCCTGGGGCCCAGACAACCTTAGTTATGAGTCCTTCCCCAAGCTGGGCCCTGGATCACAGAAGACCAGAGCCCAACAGGTTTGCATCACCATTTCACTTTGTATTTCCATGTTGTTGCAAATGGTAAGATTTTCTTCTTTTTTAGGGCTGAGTAGTATTCCATGGAGTGTGTGTGTGTGTGTGTGTGTGTGTGTGTGTGTGTGTGTGTGTGTGTGTGTGTGTGTGTGTGTGTGTGTGTGTGTGTGTGTGTGTGTGTGTGTGTGTGTGTGTGTGTGTGTATCTCCCACATCTTCTTTATCCAGTCACCTGTTGATGGGCACTTAGTTTACTTTCATATCTTGGCTCTTATGAATAATGCTGCAGGGAACATAGGGGTGCAGATATCTCTTTGAATTAGTGTTTTTGTTTTCTTTGGATAAATACTCAGGAGTGGAATTGCTGGATCCTATGGTAGTTCTATTTTTAATTTTTGAAGAACCTCCATACTATTTTTCATAGTGGTTGCACCAATATATATTCCCACCAACAGTGCACCAGGGTTCCCTTTCCTCCATATCCTTGCCAACACTAGTTATTTGTTGTCTTTTTGATAATAACCATTCTGAGGTGTGAGGCGATATCTCATTGTGGTTTTGAATTTCATTTCCCTGGTAATTAGTGATGTTGACCACCTTTTCATGTGCCTGTTGGCCAACTGTATGTCTCCTTTGGGAAAAAAATGTCCATTCAGTTCCTCTGCCCATTTTTTCAATCAGGCTGTTTTGTTGTTGTTGTTGTTGTTGTTGTTGTTGTTGTTTGATGTTGAGTCGTGTGAGTTCTTTGTATGTTTTGAGTGTTAGTCCTTTATCAGATATATCATCTGCAAATAACTTCTCCCATTTGGTAGGCTGGCTTTTGTTTTATTGACAGTTTCCTTTGCTGGGCAAAAGCTTTTTAGTTTCATATAGTCCCATTTGTTTAATTTTGTTTTTGTTTCCCTTACCTGAGGAGAAATATCCAAAAAAATATTACTGAGACCAGTGTCAAGGAGTCTACCACCTGTATTTTCTTCTAGGAGTTTTATGGTTTCAGGTCTTACATTTAAGTCTTTAATTATTTAGTTATTTTTGTACATGATGTGAGAAAGTAGCCCAGTTTGATTCTTTTGCATGTAGCTGTCCACTTTTCCCAACACTATTTATTGAAGGGGCCATCTTTTCCTCATTGTATATTCTTAACCTCCTTCGTCGTCGATTAATTGCCCAAATAAGTGTGGGTTTATTTCTGGACTCTCTGTTCTATTGATCTATTTGTCTGTTTTTGTACTAAACCATACTGTTGTGATTACTGCAGCTTTGTGGTACAGTTCAAAATCAGGCACTGTTTGTTGAAACCCAGGAGTAGTCCCCAGACTGTAATGTCATCAGCCCTCACGGCTCACCTGCGAAAGGAAATCATCACACTGGACTAGATCATGAGAGGGAAAGAGGGAAAGGTCAGGCGCTCTTCCTCCTCCACAGAGCCACCTTGGGAGGCTGGGCAGCTTCAGTTCCTGGTGGAAGGGGTCCCCCTGTCCATGGAAGAACCTCCCTGTGGGCAGAATCCTCTGTCATGGCCTTGCTGTGTGACCTCAGGAAGTTCACAGACCCTCTCTGGGCCTGTTTCATTACCTATAGAGGGACCCAGGAGACCCTACCAAGATGGCAGATCTGAGAAAGATGGGGTGCTCCCTTAGTGAACCTCACATGAGCATTTCTCTGCTTCTTTTAGGGTCACATCACCTGTCAGAGACCCCTAACCCCGCCCACTCCTCAAGCCACAGCCCAGGTGGCTCTTCACCCCTAGTATTTCTGGCCAGGTTCCACTGGCACGTGCACTGGAGCGGAGGTGAGGGGAGTGGGATCTTCCTGCCTGTGCACGTATTTGGCGCCAGCTTCCTGAAGATGAGGGGGCAACCTCCACCCTCCCCAGAGAGGATCGCTCAGCAGCCCCTATCCTGCTGAGTCAGAGAAGGCCGGGCCGGACTGGGGAAACAGTGCTGGTGTCCTCAGTGACTCTGGCTGAGGAGAGGGAAGCTCTAGCCTGGAGACAGTGACAGGGGAGTGCTGCTCCAGGAGGCCCGGGTCCTAGGAGGAGGCAGAGGGAGCACATTTCCTCTGATGCAGCCCCTCCTGGGTGGAGCATCCCCTGACCCTCTCTCCATGCCCTCTGCCCACTGGCCTCTGCCCACCACCTAGTGGCCTCTCCACCTTCCACAGGGCCCGCCAGATGCTCTTCTCTGGACAACAGGGGACTGTGACGATGATGATTAGCAGCTTTATTAACAGTGAGGCTACCCCAGTCCCCACTGCAGGGGAAACTCCCTAAATGAGTTTCGAGTCCCCCTTGTTTGCCACAGACTGAGAATTTTTCTCTGGAAGCACCCAAGTTCCCCTGTCTCTTCTAGGGAACAGTTTACAAGAGCAGGACCAGAGGGTTCTGGACCAGCTCTGGACTGGTGCAGCCTGCCAGGCAGGGGAGGGGGAACAGAGCAGCAAACGTGTCAGAGCGCCCCTGCTGTGTGCCCGACGCTGCTCCAGGGGCTGAGGGGCGGGCGGAGGCCAGAGGCAGCCCCTGCCTTGGGGGAACTCGCAGGAGGTGAGGATGGAGGAACAGGCCTGGCCCTACATGAGAATGTGCAGGTGAGATAAAGGGCCTCGGGGCCTGGAGCGGGAAGAGGTTGCATGGAGGCTGCAGCCGGTGACCTGGGCCTGGTGGGTGGGAAGATTCACACCAAGAGGATGGTAGGCATTTCACATGAGGGGAGCGCTGAGCAAAGGTGCAGAGATAAAGGAGGGTAACAGCATGGAACTCAGGTGGGAAAACGGCTGGATGAGACATCAAGACAGTAAACTCCGTGGGGACAGGAGCGTGTCTGCTTTGTCCACCGCTGTGTGTGTCCCCAGCGCCAAGCACAGTGCCTGGGACATCGTGAGCTCTCAACGAGGCTTGGCTGAATGAGCGCAGGAGGGAAAGACAAGTTGGTGAGACAGAGCGAGAATCCAGGGAGAAGCTGGCGAGGGCTGTGTGCACCTCTCAGCCTTCCTTGGGAAGCAGAGGAGACCAGGGACATTTTGAGGTGGTTTCCTTGCTGGGGATTAACCCACTTACTCCTCTTTGGTTCTCCCAGCTATGAAACAAATTCCAAGGGACCTTCCAGATGAGTGTCCTGGAGTCCAGGCCTATGATAAGCGTCTCAAAAGAGCTTCATGGTGCTGCGCGGACTCTAGGACTGGGAGATCTGTTGAGGGGAATCAGGAATGCTTCCTGGAGGAGGCGGCAGTGAGGGAGGCAGTGGAGGGGCCGCAGGGGAGAGGGTATAGGCCGGGAAGCAGGCCAGATGCAGGCCTGTTAGGAGAACAAAATCAAAGGGGAATTGGATCTGAGTGGGAGAAAGCGGCGATGCTGACTCCCTGCCTCAACACCTCTGACTCAAGTCGGCCAGGCACCCAGCCTATTCGCCTGCCACCCCCACCCCCCAGCCCAGCTCCAGCCCCGAGACTCTTGCCACAGGGAGTCCCTTAGGGTAAAACCAGCTGGAGGGGATCAATGCCTTCCCCAGCTTTAGCCTGAAGAGGATGTACCAGCCAGATTCTGGGTCCTTCACCCTGAAAGGTAGGGAGGGAGGGTTCCTGCCCCACCCTGGCTCTACCATGAGCTGCAGTGGAACCAGGGATGCTGCTGTCATAACCCCCCAAAACTTAGCCCCCAGCCACAGAGCAGAGGCCAGGTTGCTGGGGTGTGGAAGCTCTTTATCATCTTCAAATTGCACATGACAGTCGTCACTGGGGTGGCAGAAGTTGTCACCACAGGTCTTGCTCCTGTCAACCGAGGCTTCAGGAGATACGATGACTTGCCCAGGGCCTCTGTGGGAGATGTAGCATTTTGTCCACTCAGCTCCATCCTCTGGCAGTGGAAGCTCGATTCAAACAGCCCTGCCCATGGCGGCTGAGGTATGGTGATTCCAAATGTTATCTCCATCCTCTAATTCCCAAATATGTCCCACTCCCCTGTCCCAAGGGCCTGACGTGCTCACTGATGAGTCAGTTGTTCCTGACAGGTTGTCTGTCTGCTTCATTCCTCGGATCAGAAACACAAGGGTCATCCCTGCCTGGGGTCTCCTTCCTCTCCCTGCTACTGAGTTGGCCAGCAAGATGCGTCTTGAATCCATCTCCTCCCCAACCACATGGCCACTCCTCCACCTCTCTGCTGGACCACAGCCCCATACTCATCTCCCAGCTCCCAGCCTTGCTCCTCCAGTCCATCCTCCTCTCTAAAGCCCACTGATCTTCCCAGACATAAATTTGAGCAAGGCTCTCAACTCGTAAAATCCTTCAGGGTCCTCACCCTTCCTTGCCTTCGGGATGAAGTCCAGACTCCCACCAACTTCTCACCCTAGCTTTTGCCCCCAGCCCTACCACCCACCACATCACTTTGTTCCAGCCACGTCAATGTTTTTTTCAGTTCCTTGAAAATGCCAGGCTCTCACAGACACTCAAGCTTTTGTACAGGCTGTCCACTCGCTTCCTGTCTAGAACATTCTCTCTGTTCTCCACACCCCACCTCCTTTCATTCCTACCCTCCTTCAGATCACAGCTTAAACCCTCACTTCCTTCCTTCAGCCTCAACTTTCCACTCTGTCCTCATAGGTCACTGACTTCCCCATTGTGCTCTCATTACATTGTATTGTGATTGCTTGCTTATTGCTGTGAACTCCTTGAAAGTAGGATCTCTTTTGTGTTTCAGCTTGTACCTCTAGGACTTAATACCCAGTGGGTACTCGAGAAAATATATTTATTGAATGAATGAAGAGGTAGGTGGTTGGATGGATGAGTGGATGGATGAATGGATGGGTGGATGGGCACTTAAAATTTCTGAAGTACAGCTTGGGCCTAGCTTACATTCTATCCCAGGGACTCCTTCACCCCAGAACAAGTTATTTTTGATCCAGTGTGTCCCACTAATCCATGAGATACATCTCCTGTCACAGATGAGGCAGAGGGACACAACCAAGGCTCTCTATCTAGTTTACAACTTCCTTGGCCATTTCCTGCCTCCTGCCAAACCTAAATTGCTT